AAAGCAAATTGTCTAGCAATACTTCACGACAAGTCTTATGCTTTTGGCCACAAGTTATAATGTTGTGCATAACTTCCAAACATGCCTGAAGTTCACGGTTAATTTTTTATTGTATCTAAGTTATTATAATGATGAGCTTGTTCAAATCGAATTTGATGTCACAACTATATTTTTGGCAAATCTTCATGACCACCGTGTATCTCATTTCGTTTTGATGAGTTGCATAGCTATTTTGATTTCGGTAAGTGCTGCAGTAGGGTCACTATCAACTACAAAGCAATAAAAACAAATTGAATGTCAAAAAAAGTGGACATAAATTACAACCTCACATTAACAAATTATAAGATTCATTAGCAATGAAAACATACAAAAATAAAATACAATATATCTATAATTATACTACTACTATGAGGTGTTTCTCCCTTGTGTTCAGGAATTGTATAATAAATTGTCTGTGTTGATCCAAAGACAATAGAAATGTCTTTGGTTGATCTATGTACTGCAACTTCATATTATTAGCAATACTGAGATTAGTTTTAGTTGCTGGCCCAAAAATGTGTGTGCATGAAATTCTCGCTAAGCCTGTCAGTTTGTATTCTTACTAATTCTCACACTTGAACAATACAATAATTATTTTTACTACTGTGTTTTTTTTAGTTTTTTTCTGATATTTTTTTTTTCGACACCAAAAGTCAACCAAATGCTGAAACTTCGCCATGGTGATCTGTTACTGTGGCCGATCTTTCAGATAAATACAATGATAATCATAAATAACTTGATACAGTGTTACGTTAATCTTTGGTTGTAATTATAGATTGTTTGTTCTCTTTTTCGTTGCCAGGATACAAGCATCAAATGTAGAACTGTGTTTTGTCCAGCACCATGTGACAACATGATAGAGATTCCTGGACAGTGTTGTAAAGCTTGTCCTGGATGTGAATTTGAGGGTGTGCTATACGATGATGGGGCAGTTTTCAAACCCTACGATGACCAATGCATGGAGTGCCAGTGTGATGTATGTATCTTTAAATTCAAGAATCAATTGCTGCAACTCTCTAGATTTGTGCCATTTGTGTGTGTTGTTATAATTTCTGCTAATCACAGAATTTTATGCTGTGATTATAGTTTTCGCTGAAAATAAAATAATAATTCAACACTTGAAAATGGAACAATAGCTAACAAAATATGATATCACCATCTGTCACCATAGAAGATATTAATTATACCAATTAAATCTTAAATTAATGTCACTACATACATGTACATGTATCATTAATAGTTAATTTTAATTAGCAGTGTTTGAAATCACTGTTCTCATATGCCCAAGACTATTATAGTAACATTTCAGTCTGGCTGGTTAATGCCGGTGGGATGGTAAAATGTTTTCATGGCCTACTTCAATTGCAATTTTTTTAAATTGAAATTTTACTAAATAATATTATAAGATTGAACACTATATCCTATGATGGCTGATACAGAAATTGTGAATCAAAGAATGCAATAGTTTGAAATAGTTTTGTGTGTCAGCATAATGTTGGGCTCTCATGGTGTTTACTTGGAATGAAAGTATTTTAAAATAATCTTTAATGAAAAGCTTGTATCTTCCAGGCAGGGCTGGAATTTGAGAAATTTCGAACATTGTTATTGGTGTCTGTTCCATTGATATGATTGATTATTAATAACACACCTATGTTGAGTTATAACTTATCCAAGAAAACAAATGCTTGTATATTTTCATGGCATTAACTGCAACTCAGTAAATACTGGATTATAACTTCTGTTTTATTCATATTGATAGGATGGTCTCTTCTTGTGCATGCCAATATCATGCCAACAACCATTATGTCCTCCTGAGCAAGTTATGGTAAAGATTGGATCATGTTGTCCAGTATGCAGAGGTTTGTACATTCCGCAGGGTTTTGGGAAGAGAATAATACTGTAAAACCATTTATTTTCACTGACATTTAATGTTTTGAGCATATTCAATAATATTTTTTAATTCCATGAATTTGTCAAGGAAACAATGAGTTTTATTCTTATTTTGCATGTTCACATAGATTTAATTTATCAAATTTTACTTATCAGTGAAAATAGCAAAATTAAACCCAGTGAATAATTAATGGATTTATAGTATATTACAATAACTGAAATGTTTTTAGACATACACAATTGTGGGAGTATGCTTGCAATTTTCTTTCTTTGTTTCATGATTGGGGGAGTATGTTTGTTCGAAATTTCATTTCTTTGCTCCACAATTGAGCGAGTATGCTTGTTTGAAATCTCATTTCTCTGCTCCACAATTGAGGGAGTATGTTTGTTCGAAATTTCATTTCTTTGCTCCACAATTGAGGGAGTATGCTTGTTTGAAATCTCATTTCTTTGCTAGTTTGTTTCTTTGCTTCACAATTGAAGGAGTAAGTTTGTTTGAAATTCCCTTTCTTTGATCCACTATTGTGGGAGTATGTTATTTGGAAATTGCAATTTTTTATTTACAATATTGAGATAGTATTTTTGTTTCAAATTTCTTGAAGTTATCGTTTATGGGAACATTTCAGATATATATATATATATCAGATAATAATCTTGAAAGCAAGTAGGATTAAACATTAGTGAAACGTGAGTGGGTAATCCAACTTAGTTTTGTATAAGTTGTATCTATTTTTCTGTAGCAAGAAAGCCAAATAGGAACATTTTTAGACAAAGTTCTCAAATCATGGCATATTAAAAAACTCTCAGTTGGGTAATTTCAAAATATGTTGTGAAATATTGTATTTATTACAAATATTCTTATTGTTATTGTGAATGATTGACATTCACTCTGAGTTTCTGGTACGCACATGACTGTGCAGCTCTCACAAACATTAGTGAACAGTCTATTACATTGTCTGTCTTGTTTTATAGGTGAATCATTGGAGTCAGAATGTGAGAATAATGGCACTGTTTATCAAAATGGTAGCAATTTTCATCTAAATCCATGTACACATTGTGTTTGTATGGTAAGTAAGTCTTATTTAACATATACAAACTGGTGGCCATTTTAGTCACAACAAATATTTGAACAAGTCAAGTGATTTCTCAGGCATTGTGGAATTTATTCAAACTTACAGATAATGGTTTTGATGCATGTCTGCATTGTAATTTAACCCAAAATGCTGACTGGTGACCTTTTTAGCTCCGTTGTCGACTTTGTCGAGCGGAGCTTATCATATGAGTGATTGTCCGGCGTCGTCCGGTGTCCAGCATCCATCATTCGTGTAAATGTTTTACTTTTTCGACTTCTTCTTGAAAACTACAAGCCTGAATGCTTTGATACTTGGTGTATATGTACCTTGGGTAGACCTCTCTCAGATTTGTTCATTTCATGATCATATCTTCAATTCTCTAATTTTGGCGAATATTTTTGTAATTTTTGGTAAAAAGTGATACTTTCGACTTCTTGTTAAAAACCGCAAGTCCAATTGCTTTGATATTACATATATAGGTACTACATGTGTATCTCTCTCAGATTTGGTCATTTTGTAATGATATCTTCAATTCTTTAACTTTGGTGAATATTTTTGTCATTTTTGGTAAAAAGTGATATTTTCGACTTCTTGTTAAAAACTGCAAGTCCAATTGCTTTGATATTACATATATTAGGTACTACATGTGAATCTCCCTCAGATTTATTCATTTTGTAATGATATCTTTAATTTTCTAATTTTGGTGAATATTTTTGTCATTTTTGGTAAAAAGTGATATTTTCGACTTCTTGTTAAAAACCACAAGTCCAATTGCTTTGATATTACATATATAGGTACTACATGTGAATCTCTCTCAGATTTATTCATTTTGTAATGATATCTTTAATTTTCTAATTTTGGTGAATATTTTTGTCATTTTTGGTAAAAAGTGACATTTTCGACTTCTTGTTAAAAACCACAAGTCCAATTGCTTTGATATTACATATATAGGTACTACATGTGGACCACTCTCAAATTTGTTCATTTCATGATGATATCTTTAATTTTCTAATTTTGGTGAATATTTTTGTCATTTTTGGTAAAAAGTGATATTTTCAATTTCTTGTTAAAAACTGCAAGTCCAATTGCTTTGATATTACATATATAGGTACTACATGTCGACCTCCCTCAGATTTGTTCATTTTGTAATGATATCTTTAATTCTCTAATTTTGGTAAATATTTTTGTCATTTTTGGTAAAAAGTGATATTTTCGACTTCTTGTTAAAAACGACAAGTCCAATTGCTTTGATATTACATATATAGATACTACATATGGACCACTTTCAAATTTGTTCATTTCATGATGATATCTTCAATTCTCTAATTTTGATGAATATTTTTGTCATTTTTGGTAAAAAGTGATATTTTCTTCTTGTTAAAAACCACAATCATTTATGGTTAAAAATTATATTTTTGAATTCTTGTTGAAAACAGCAAGTCCCATTGCATTGATACTATGCATATTTTTCATTTTCTAATGATATCTTCTGTTCTTTAATTGAAATGGGCATTGCCAACAGTGGAGCTATCTCAGCCGAGAGGCTGCTTGTTATTTATTTTCATACTTGATTTTGTTCAAGAAAGTTCTGTACTCTGTGGGTACTCTGTATACTTCTGACAAATCTTGTTTAAAGTTGTTACAAAGTCAAGACTTAGATGTGTGTCTTCATGTGTAAATTCAGCTATATCAGTAGATACAAATGTTATTGACAATAATTGTATATTATGATATTTAAAAAAAAATCATTCTACAATTTTAAATTGTATGGCTCTGTTGGGTGTGCATTTACAGTGTTACTCCATCAATGGATTGTGACATTGATTTTTTGTCATTCCAGAATGGTCATATAACATGTGAAGTAGAAGAGTGTGTTCGCTTTGACTGTGCAAGTGATATGTGGATCAATAAACCTGATATGTGCTGTTCAGTATGTGCAGGTTAGTAACAAGCAACTCTCAGCTTAAGAACATGACATGGTTAACTAGTAATAAAGAATACAACAATTTTAAAAGCAGGACAAATTCTTAATATTAATTCAATATCATGAAAATAATAATAATCTTTAATCACTTAACATCCATTGGAATGGATGAAAATCGACACATAAAAATAAACAAGAATAAAAAAATAGGAAAATAACTAAGAACTACAAAAGAGGGGAAAAATAATACTTTTAAGTAAAAATACTTTTAATTAAAATGATGAATTAAACTATTATACTTGTACATTATTAACAGTGACCCAAGTATGTACAGTAATAGAGTTATGATGGTGCTGCTGCCTCAAGTTAAATGAAAATTTTAAAATTGAGCAAGAGGTATTGCCATTTTTTGGCAACTTAATAAGAAATTGAACTTTTTCTTTCAGATTCAAAATCTTGAAAGTGTTTTCATGCTGTTCAGCTTTTGTGAAGAGGTGATAAGAAGAAGCAAATACAAATTACCACAGCTACTTGTGGGATTAAATATACTGAATACCTTAACAAATTTTGACTCTACCATAGCTACATGTTTTTTTTAACTGTTTATTTCAGGTCCATCTGATTGTCAGTTTGAAAACAGGTTTCATGAAGATGGTGATACTTTCATTCCAGTTGCAGACAAATGTGCCCTGTGTACATGCAAGGTAGGATAGAAATATATATTACCAGAGGTACATTACTTGGGGTTTGCAACTACGTGACTGATACCAAGATTCCGTT